AATTGCTGATTAGAATTTCTGTTGTACACTCTAACAGAAATGCTAAACGAATTTACGATTGGTTTTCGTAACCTACGCAAATCGAAAAGTACGCCTCATGGGGAACCGGTACTTTCTATCGCGTACATACAATACGCGTTTGTACAAATTTAGAAGAAGAAAGTCTGATTTATAATCACCGTAACTGTTAACTCATACCGGTGCCGGTAAAGTTCAACCATACGATTTCAATGCTTTCGTTCATACTAATACGACAAGTTAGTATGAACGAAAGCATTGAAATTGTATGGTTGAACTTTACCGTCACCGGCATAAGTTAACGGTTACGGTCAGACTTTCTTCTTCTAAATTTGTACAAACGCGTATTGTATGTACGCGACAGAAAGTACCGGTTCCCCATGAGGCGTACTTTTCGAGTTGCGTAGGTTACGAAAACCAATCGTAAATTCGTTTAGCATTTGTGTTAGAGTGTACAACAGAAATTCTAATCAGCAATTGGCTGCATTAGTTCCGCCTTTCTCTAATAACAGATTACGCTTATGCAGGTTATGTCGCATGTGACGGCATCCTTATGCATTTCATGTGTGACAGGCTTCGGTTGACGAGATGATGTTCAAAATATAGCGAATTCGGCAGACTGCAGTGAGCTTTAATGCTCACTGAATGCGAACTCAATGGCTGCGTTCAGCAGACTCAACAGTTTTGCAACCGTTTTATGATTGTCTGCTGAGATAGGACCATTCTTCTAGATCTAAAAGTATGATCCAATTAGCGCGAAGGAAACTTACAACAGTTGCAAAACAAACGTTCTGCTGAACGCAGCCTTTCAGTGCCACGCATTCAGCTTGTGCGCACTAGAGACCCTCGAAAGACTTACGGTGAAATCACACGGTGCGGAAAAAGACTGCGGAATGGAAAATGCGTCATTGAAGCAACCAATCAGCGCTATTCAGCGCTATTCGGAATAGTGCTGATTGATTGCTTCAATGACGCATTCTCTATTCCGCAGTCTTTTTCCGCACCGTGTGATTTCACCCTTAAGCCATAAGAAATTGACCAATTACCAAGAAGACTAGAACTAAGGAGGATCAACTCGCGTGGTGGGGGTGAGTCAAAAAACGTCCGCGGCTATTCACACGATGTGCAGCGGCACTGCGCATTGTGTGAAAGTTCGATATAAGAGCGACAAAGTGACGATTATAAAACGACAGAGCGACGACTATATAGAGCGACAGAGAGGACTAATGAAGCGCAAGAGTGGGGGAAGTTATCCGTCGCCACTTTTTGCCTCACCCCCACTACCGCTATTGGCACGAGTTGACTCTCCTTAGTTCTAGTCTTCTTGCCAATTACAGTCGAATCCGAGGGGAATAATCGACTGTGATTCGCCCATTTCTTATGACTTAAGGCTTAAAACCCTATTGTAGATCCGGGGTAAAGGACCGTCTACAATGAGTAGTAGCAATAGTGGTAAGGCTGTAAGACACATCAGGAATAAACTGATTTTTCGGTATAATAGGACATAGAGTGAGTCCGTAAGTAACAAAAGAGTAGAACGTAGGAAATGGATTTTAACTATTCACTTACCTAGATTTTTAGATCTAACGGAATATCCAATCAGATGCAAGATAGAGACACTATAATAAGAGACTGGCATAAGTTCTAGTTGGATACAAAATGGCGTTCACAGGACGATAAAGCCCATGGCACATACAAAAACGTAAGGCCGTAAGACATAATCAGTAAGCGAATTGGCCAATCACGATAGAGACCGTAAGACCAGTAGCGAATCCAATCTTACGATTTCTTTACTGCTTACATATTACGGCCTTACGTTTTTGTATGTGCCATGGGCTTAAAGCGGAGAGCACAGGCTTTGCCGTAACGCATAATGCGTAAGGTATAAAGGAATAAACCAATCAGATTCCTTCATTTCTATCCCCACTACTCGCTCTGCGAGGATCGCATACGCGTACTTGTAGACTAATTGGGTGCGTTCAGCAGACTCAACAGTTTTGCAACCGTTTTATGATTGTCTGCTGAGATAGGACCATTCTTCTAGATCTAAAAGTATGATCCAATCAGCGCGAAGGAAACTTCCAACAGTTGCAAAACAACCGTTCTGCTGAACGCAGCCATTGAGAGGATGTGGAGGTTTAAGCGGGGAGCACAGACTTTCGCATAACGCATAACATGTAATGCATAAGAAATTCAATCAATCAGAATTCTTTATTTCATGGAAAGGAAGGAAACGGAGGGCTTTGATTGGTACATTTTCTTATGCATTACGTGTTATGCGTTATGCAAGAGTCTGTGCTCCCCGCTATATACATGTATTGACGAGGAGAATAGACTATTGCATAAGACCTTCTAACCTAAAATATTTAGAAAAATGGATCACAACGCTTATTATATGGTTCATTCCGAGGATAATAACGAATTTAATAACGAAGTTAATACTCAAAATGTGATGGACGAAGATATAACCTTTATGAATGAAGACTCTGTGGATGGAGATGCAATCCTAATCTCCTTAATTCAAAGTCATCCTTATTTATATAAGCAATTAAGTGACTTTAAAGATAGCCTGAAGAAAGAAAATGCTTGGACAAAGATAGCCAAGATTTTAAACATGAAAGGTATATCTCTCTCTAATTTTTAGTAATTTATAAATTAGTATTAGTTTAACTTGAGAACTTGACTAATTTGAATAAGTGAAATTTTATTCAAATTAATGACTTTTTTATTGAAAATTACTAAAAATCATGACTAAATTAATTATAGGTAATTAAAAAAAATAGCGAAAATTACAAAATGAAAACTTTTTAATTCAGTTTAGTCCATTTTATCTACCTGACAGATTATATGGTCATTACTGAACACCCTGTATATGATTCTTTTATATAATATTATTTTATATGAGAAAACTACAGAATCGTAAGAAATTATGTACATAATTAATTTTAATAATTATAAACTATATATATCTGTACATATGTATATACATATATATATATAATCCAAACTACTAATTTAAAATGTACTTCAATTGATGAATTTGGTCCTTCAACTACAGAAATATCTTTGATATTATTTGTTTCTTGAGAAACACTATTTGAAAGTTCAGTTGTATTTTCCATTTCTGCAGTAATGTCTCCAGAATAAATTTCTTCAATATGAATGTCACTCTGTCCGTGAAGAGGTGTGTCAAATAAGTTTTCTATTGTATTATCCGTATTCTGCATAAAAAATTAAAATCATTTAAAAAAAGTATATATATATAATTTTATATTTATAAATAATATGTATAATAATCTTACTATAAATTATGATCTTATACATACTTTAAGTGACGAATTTGATCCTTCCTCTAAATAAATAACTTCGATATCATTTAATTTTTGAGAAGTCTCAGAAACGCAACTTAAATGTTTATTTACATTTGTGATTTTTTCAGTAACATGAGTGCCATACTGTACATCAAGAGATGTACTAAGTAAATTTTCTGTTGTATTTATATTCTATAAAAAACGAAAATTAACAAGCAACAAATAATAGAAAATAATTAAAAAATATAAAGAATAAAAACTAAATTATAAACAAGTATTCATAAAAAATTAGTAATTTAGAAAGATTTTTCAGATATACGTACTTCAATTTGTGATTTTGTTGTAAATTGCCTTTTTTTACATGTGTTCCAAAATTCAAACAATTTTGTATATTCAATTCTTCCTTTCCATTTATCAACGTTACTATTTCTTTCAAATTCGTTAATGATATCTTTATCTAAATTTTCTCTCATAAAATTTAAAACAATTCTAAATTTATCATCCTCAGTTTCTTCAAATGATATCTCCTATGTACTTCGACTCTGATTTTGTATAACTTTACTATAATCAATAGCATCTACATTGAGTGGGTATAATCCACAAACTCGAAATCCATTCCGCAAACATTTAGATGTATCAATATTATCCACAGCTTCTTTAATTAATAAACTAAAATCTTCTTTTCTCAAAGCTTGATAATTATTTTCTACACGATATTTGTTAACGGCATTTTTCCAAGCTATTTTTATAGGTCTAAATACCGACACGTCCATCGGCTGAAGGATATGTGTTGAATTAGGATAGAGAGCAATTAATTCTATTTTATGCATGCTACAAAAGTCACTCAAGTGTTTCGTCATATGTGACGAATGTCCATCTAAGTAAAGTATCACTGGAAGAGGTATTTTGTTTTGAAGAAGCCATGGATAGAAGATATTAGCAATATATTCATAAAAGTTAGATGCGACCATCCATCCGTTGTCCGATCTGCCGCAGCTCCAACCATGTGGCAACTTTGATGCTATGTACGATGGAATTCGCTTATAAGAAAACAATATTAAGGGTGGAGCCAGCACACCAGCAGCACTACCTGTGAAAAGGACTGTGAGACTTTCTTTATCATTATTCCCAACTATTTTATACACATTTTTTTGTCCTTTCTCTGCCAGCACAGATGATTCCTTAGGGTTGAGTAAAAAAGCTGCTTCGTCGCAATTAAAAATTCTTTCCGGTGCAATATTTGACAATTCTTTAGAATTTAAATAAGTAATTATTTCATTGAACCATCCTCTCAAAGCATTTTCTGTGACTTCAGCTCGACGAAATGTCAAATTTTCAGTCATTCTTTCTGCAAGTTTTTCATGTCGTTGTAAAAATCCCCGATACCAATTACGTCCAGGACGATCATTAACAAAGTTATTTTTCCTTTCCAGAGATTTAATAAGCATTTGCACACTGTCCAACAGTTGATTTTTAGTTATTGGAAAGCCTCTATGACTTAAATAAAAAATCCAATCTGCTAATATTTTTTCTTCTATGTTTGAAAGAACTGTTGATGGTCCAGGCTTCTTATCTGCATACAAATGTTTCTTTTTTGCATCCAACGTTGAACGAGGAATACTAAATTTCTTGCTAGCAGCATTTACGCTCATTCCTGCATTTATTGCAGATAATGCTTCTTTTATGAGATTTATATTATATAAGCATCTTCTTTTTTTGCCTTTTTTATCCATCTTTGTTTTATTCATTATAATAATTCTAAAAGCAAAAGTTATAAATAAACTATGTGTATTAATATTATGTGTATTAATTACATAAATGTTAGTTAGAAGAAATTAAATAATACATTGGATATTATACATTCTAATACATCGGATATTATTCCAAAAATTTACTTGGCGTTTTTATATTTTATTTTATTCAATTTTTTACATTAACCTCAACATGCCAAGCATTTTTAGAATAATATCCGATGTATTAGAATAATATCTAACATATTTAGTATTGGAATAATAATGTTACAATAATAATACCTTCGAAAATATTCGATAATTCGAGCAATCTTCAGTTTTGGATAACCTAAGGACACACCAGAACACACACGACACACATCGGTATTGACAGATCAAGGTTATATTATCGGTCTTTACGAGACGTAGTATAAGAGACAGTATTATGCTTACTTCGTGATTGTTGATCATAATACTGTTGACAGTATTAGGAAAAATACAAAAAAGTGAATATATTACTGGTATTAACGAATATATTATATAAATTAATAAATTTATTCAATATTTAATTTTTTTCTTTTTATTTCAACATTATTTCATCAGAAAATTGAGTTTTCGTTTGACTTACTGATCAAATTTTCCTATAATCATTCATCTTTGCAACTACTTATTATCCACTTCACTAATAAAAATAGGTATAATTCAGCAGAAAAATGCGTTTCTCGAAATATAAATTTTATTTGTAATTAAAGGATTGGTTTTCATTTTCAGTTAACTATTGTAATAATAATTAGATAGATTACAAATTCTATTAAAAATTAATAAAACAATATAAGATATACTTTTTTCACCTCAAAATGCATTTTAATTTTGATTGACAGTAATGTATACACTGTCAGTAATATGGTTTTTTACCTTATATCCAATGAAAGCTCTTCTTTTTCGCACGTGATGATGTTAAGCAGAGCTTATGAGAGTAGAGAGATCATTGGATATCGGTTGTTCGTCGCTTCGAGTCCAGTGGTCCAGTTACACCGTGCGTTTAGTCCGCGATCTATACGATAGATGTCTTTGTTTATCCTGTAGGTTAAACAAAGACATCTATCGTATAGGCCGCGGCCTAAATGTTCGGTGTAAACGTAGCCAGTGTGCAGTAGGCATAAAATGCAGAGACAGAGGTACTTTAGGAACGCTTGAGTTATTTGAATAAGAGCTTCGTGCCGAGACGTCGCTGTTTACATTTCGTTGTGGTGTTTAATAGAAAAGGTAATTATACATGCAGTTTAGATGCCGCAGCTCAAAAATGTGATTGTGATTGTGCATCGCAATATTTCGCGGCTGTGACAGATTTCCTAACTTCATTGGTCCAGCGGCCTTAAGGCCATCACACGTACAAAAATTTTAGTCGGAATCGTAAGGTCGCAAACAAATCGATCAATCACAATCAAAATTAAGATCTCGCGCTTTTAAATGCTCGACTGTGATTGGCTGATTTGCCTACAGCCTTACAATTACGACTAAAATTTTTGTACGTGTGATAGCCTTTACCCCGGATCTACAATAGAGTTTTAAGCCTTAAGCCATAAGAAATGGACGAATCATAGTCAATTATTCTCCTCGAATTCGACTGTAATTGGTCAATTTCTTCCAACTTAAGGCTTAAAACATTTATTGCAGATCCAGACTTGCAATGCTTATGGCTGTAGTCCACTTGACGCTACAAACGCTTCGAAGCGTTTGAGCAACCAATCAGAACAAAGAATTTTACGAATTAACTAATCAAAGAATGCTTCGAAGCGTTTGTAGCGTCAAGTGGACCGCAGCCTTACGTCATTTTATGTGTGATCACTCTAATAAAGTAAATAAAATTATATAACTATAATATAACTCATTATATAATAATTACGTAACATTGGAATTATTTATATCATAGTTATATAACATTTCAGCATGTTATGTAACTATTCTGTAACTTTTCTGCAACAGTTATATAACGTTTATTACATTGTTATATTTATTTTATATAACTATAATTTGCAGTGAGAGAGAGAGAGAGAGAGAGAGAGAGTGGGGGAACAATTAACATTACATGTAATCAACACGTTATATTACCTTTATTCAAAGTATGCTCCATTGCTAGTTACACATTTTTCCCATCTTTCGGGTAATTTGTGGATACCACGCCAGTAAAAATCTTCCTCTTTTGCCGCGAACCATTCATCGAGCCATTTTTTCACATCTTCGTACGAACCAAAGCGCTGCTCAGCAAGTGCGTGACCCATTGATGCAAAATCACGCATTGATGCAAACAAGTGGTAATTAGAAGGAGTCAAGTCTGGTGAGTAAGCCGCATGGGCTAGTACTTCCCAGCTGAGTGCTTCCAACGTATCGCGAACCGGTTTTGCCGTATGTGATGGAGCATTGTCATGGAGAAAAATAATCTTGTGTTGCCTTTTTCGATATTCTGGTCGTTTTTCGAGTAGCGAACGGTTTAAATCGATCAATTGTTGTTGGTAGCGTTTGGTATTAACCGTTTCACCAGGCTTTAACAGCTCATAATAAACCACACCCTTATGGTCAAACACAGAGCATCATCTTCCTGCCAAAGAGATTCGGTCTTGCGGTCGATGTGGATGGTGTGTCTGGATCTACCTATGATTTTTTGCGCTTGGGATTCTAAAAAAATATCCATTTTTCATCCCCAGTAACGATACGATGCAAAAACGACTTTCTTTTGTATCGTTCGAGCAAAATTTCACATATGTTTTTGCACCTCTCCATCTGCCTCTCGTTCAACTCATGTGGTATCCAGCTGTCGATCTTCTGAATCTTTCCCATCTCTCGTAGGCGATTGGAAACAGCTTGTTGACTAACGCTCAATTGCTCTGCGAGTTGTTTTTGTGTTTGTGAATCGTCTTCGTCCAATAATGCTTGCAATTCTACATCTTCGTACCTTTTTGGCGGTTTTCCGTGTTCCTTGTCTGCAACATCGAAATCACCATTTTTGAAACGGCAAAACTATCGTTCATACGTACCTTGCGATGGAGCATGTTCACTATAAGCTTCTCGAAGTAATCGGTATGATTCAGCAGCAGTTTTCTTCAAATGAAAACAAAAAATTAATGATGTCCGCGAATACTCTTTACTTGATACAAATTTCGACATATTGAACACAGCAAAACAATACTATGCAAACACTTTTTCAATTTATCACTTATGCGGGTTTGACACTTGTTGATGACATAACAAAATGGCATATACGTCAAATCTTTTACTACACACTAGAGACCCTATACCAGAGTCTGGACAGGAGCGCGATTGTGGCAAAATGCTACGAGAGAGAGAGAGAGAGAGAGAGAGAGAGA